AGAAAGAAAAGTGGGGACCCCATGGTCCCATCCAAGGATGAAGCCAAGCCATGACAGACTCCTCCCCATGCCCTAGGTCCATGACCCGTGGCTCTTTCCGTGATGTCACAATCCGGCAGGAGTCATAGACCCCTCAGGAGAGAAGTCGACGGAGCAAAATGCCCAAAAACTATGGCGATGCTTTCCTTCATAAGAGCAGTACTCACCCTAAGAAAGAAAGGTCACAACCCCACTGTCCATAGTCAATGGCATGCGATGATCCCAGAACGGGGGAGTTGCCCTAAAATCACACCGACAATGGCGGATAGCACATTCAGGGCTAGGACGCCTGAGTTAGGGCCATTGGCGACACCCCCACTTCATGTGGCGATAAACCAATGACCCGCTCGGAAATCCCATCCTTGAATTTTAGGTGCCCACGCCCGAGAAGGCTCGAGGGCTCGCTGTGATCTTTTAATAAACATCGCGACCCTTGAACAAAGGACCATCCCTTGTTCAGGGTCGGCGATTACAAGCACAGCCGAGCCATACACCCCATTGAAATCCTGATGACACCAACATGGTGGAAAGGTCACAAGCTCCAAAGGCCACAATGCTAGAAGGAGGCTTGCGGGACATCCCCCTCTATCGCCAATCAAAAGCCTAGTAGAAAGGGATGCCTCGCAAATCCCTTTCAAGCATCACGACCGACGAAGCTGAAGAGGCAGGGCGGAAGGCAGACAACGCCATTTCCACCGGGTTGAGGACAGGGCGGTGAGACCATACGGACCTCGGGACCACCTCACATCTCCGGACCAAAAAGCCGCGGAGAGCGAGATCACAAGACTACGGATTCAAGGGCCATGCCAACTCAACCCCCTCGCCCACAAATCTCCTTCTAGCACCAGTTATTGGAAGGGGCGGAAGAAAGCGACCCTCGGCAGGTCGCATACTTGGAACCTCACGGTTCTCTCCTAATCTTTCACCCATCACCACACTCTCTCAACAGCAAAGTAGGGATCGGTTTGTAGCCGTAGCCATAAGTGTTTCGAACGGTAGGAGAACCTCCATTTATAGGCCTAGAGGCAGATTGAGCAGCCAAAAACCCCCGCGCCGCGGGGCAAACCATGGGAGGCCACAGCCAATGTTAGATGCCCACATAAGGTCGAGGAAATTGAGACCTTCCCAAAGGCAAGGCCGGTACAGCGTCGACGAGACCACTCGGCCTCGCCTGGGTCACAAACCCTAACACACAGCACACCGACATGGTAGGACTCAGCAGTCACGTACCACATCGTTAGGGCGTCCTGACAGGGTGGAGCACAACGGCCACCTACCGCATTGAACATGCCAAGCCTACAAGGGATCGAGCGATGAAGCTCGAGCAAGCCGCGAATTATGAACCCGCATTCAATATGCACACCACACAGCGCTTTCACGATCACTTTGTGATAAAAAAACTCCCGGGGGCTATTGTTGGGGTTATAACCCCGGGGTGTCTCAAGGCACCTATTAGTTGGCGGGCCACGTGGCCCACGATATATCAGCTAGCAAAGGCACGAACGGCTGAGGCCAGGCCGAGCCAAGCGAACCAGGCCAAACGCCAAAACCAAGGTCAGCCATGACCCCATCCTTCTGTCTCAGTCGCACAACGAACAAAAGACTCATGACCTCCTCACCATCACGACCCCTAGGAGGAACGGGGAAAGGTCAAGCCCAGCCAGACACGCCCACTCTAGCAAAGGTAAGAACGTAACTCTGATTCTACAAGGACCGAGGGGACAGCGGTCACCTCGATCCGATCAAACATCATCCCTACGCCACGCTGCACAGACAAGACAACACCACACGGCGGTGACAATCGGTATGGCGATCCACCGTCCAAATATGGTCGACAGGACACATGTACGATTCTACCCACCACGTGATGGGATCCACGACGAAGGCCTTGACTTAGAGGCCATCCAACCTAGCGGGAGCCACGACCCCAATGGTCGGGGACGTAGCCCTCAGCCCCTCAAACTAACAAGGTGAACGACGACCCGGGGTGGCTACCAACTCCTATACGATGCCTCCAGAAACTAGGAGAAGATGACGAAGACCACGACGAGGACCACGTCACACAGGACGGCTGGCAAATCACCACCGTGCCTACAGCGCCGCCACGGCCGACACAGTAGCACCAAGTCACACCATGCCACGATGTGGCCACAAGACCATGACAACAACCACGCCTAGACGTACTCCATAAGATGGCGTAACTTACAAACCAAGTTAGCTAGGACCTCCCTTAGGCTCACGACCCTTCGGTCGGGAGAACCTTCTTCTTTGTATACGTCCTGGCCCCGAACTCTATATAAGGACAGCCAGGGCACCCGTCTAGGGATCCAACTCTCATTCACTCGTTCTTACACCGTAGAAGGGCTCCTGAAGCTTTCCTTCGGGCAGTCCGTCTCCTAGCTCTAGATCTCCTACCTCTTCCACCATTCTTGCACCTCTACTATAAGAACTTCAGAGCATTCAAGCGAGGAATACGCACTCGATCATCTCTAAGACTGGATGTAGGGCTTCGGCCTGAACCAATATAAATCCTCATGTCTTTTAGATACTATCATCGTCTTCCAAAAACAGTACGGCAATCATATAAATTTATTAGTCCGATTTATAAAACACTGACAACAGGCCTCGCCAGCTTCGCCCCACTTGTTGGGCTCACCTACCCCATGCCAGGTCTACAACACCGCCGCCACGTTGGATCATCCGCAAGCGCGGGCACTATAAGGTGTTGTCGTTGGGCTTGCCCGCGAAGGGGGTCAATGCTTGTCACCGTCCCTTTTCCTCCCCCGCTCCCTCTGGCGCCGCTCCGGTATCCGTTGCATGTGCGAGAGCGCTTGTCTTTGTCCTGTTTTTCTCAAAACCAACGCTTAATAGAAATAGGACCGCTGCATCCTATTGTCCTTTACCCTCAACCAAAAACGATATGGTAAAATAAAGCAACAGGCAGGCGTCATAAGACCGATCCATCCTATCCTCCTTTATCCTCCAAACCAGAAAAGATATGGTAAAATAAAGTAACAAGCAGGCGCCGTTAGATGTGGTGACCGAGCAAGCCTCCTCAGCCCCGTTTTGAGAGCGGGCTTCCAGTGAAAATTTGTGTGGTGAGAATTTGCATTTAAGTCTTTGCGTATGATCGAGCGACTTGCAGCCATAAATGAGAGCAAGCCTAGCGGAGGCGTATACCATCGTTAGCCTCAGCTAACTTAGGAGTAGAGTGACTGAAGCCACAACCTCCGCATGGCACCCCATTGCAGGCTATAGTGACATCTCTTTCTTCAGAACCTTTCAGCTTTATCAGATATGAAAAGTAATCGTTGGGAGCACTTCTTTTCCTCACATCGTGTTCTCTGATGATTTCTTCTATATTTTGTCAAGTGATACATAACGTGACTTCTCCAGGTTACCATTAGGCTCTGCGAGGACACAGTCTCCTTACCTTTTCTCATCCTATCCCTGACGAAGCCAATATCGGCCTGAGTCCGGCACCTGCCACTTGGTCTATTGTCTATCCCCGGCTGCCGGAGCGAACTACGCTTTCACGTGCACCATGCTGCTTTTTATCGTAATCAGTCACCTCCAGAGGGTCGTTATCTCGAACCCAGCTAGCAACAATCGTAATAGGATCCACAGGAAATGAGGGACGAAACAAAAGACGTGCAACTCCGACCAGAAAAAACGATCACGGATAAGCTCGATCACATTGATCCATCATCCCATCCAAAGCACAAAATCTCGCGAAGTGAAAAAGAAACCCACCTCCACCTGTCACGCTGCCAGTTTCAGTACAACACAGGGCTACTAGAGGCAAGAGCACTCGTAGTCGTGGAACGAGAACTCTAGAAGCAGCAGCGTCGCTGGTTTGTCCTCCCATCCGACAGACAGCTCGCAGCCACACACGGGTTCGGTCCCTCGTCGCTGCCGCTCGAACCCCACACGCGAACCGCGACCACACACCTGTCCGGCTGCCTCGCGCGGCTCCCTTCGCACGGCTCTCGGGGCTGAGCCAAATCAGGAGCCCCGAACACCGGCGCGCGTCTCGGCCCAGCCTAGCCAACTCGCCGTGTTTCTCCGCGCCCGTCGCCCGCGCGGACACGACACGAACACACCCGCCCGCCCCAAGTCCCCAACCCAAGATCCCGCAGGTCACCGGGCCTGCGTTTCGGCCGAGCCAAATATCTAAAGCACAGTCTTATATTTTTGAGCGGTGTTGTTGCACATAGGCTGAGGTCTCGTTTGGTAGGGCTTTTCCATCGATTTCAGGAGTCGTTTAGAGCTGTTTTCTACCAAACGGGATAAAGTAAAATAGTTTCACTTGTGAAGCCCCTAAAAATATGCTCTCACAGTTATTTGGGGTAGGATGGAGCAAAAAAAAAGGTGGTTTCTCCGGCTCCTCCTCCAGACCCCTAAAACACATGCTTTTACAGGAAAGCCATTTTACCAAACGATTTACCAAAACCACTTCAGCTCCACCGGTGGAACGGTTCGTGGAGGTGAAACCAAACAAAAATCTTCACGACTAAAGTGAAGCCCTGCTAAAGGCATAATTAGATGCTGGACACTAAGAAAAGGTGGCATTTGCCATAACACACTAAAAAAACATGTCTTTCTCAAACACACTAAAACTCTATGGCAATTGGGTGCTAGACACTATAACACATTTTATAACATATCCTCATCAAACAGTTATCAATACATTTATAAAAGACAAGTATACCCCTGCTCCTTCAAATGAACATTTCTAATAGATAAAAGGACATGATGATAGCATGTTCTTCACCATTCAGCAAGCAGTACACAAATACAAATAGCAGGTTCAGACACATTTGGCTACAGTATAGACCCTAATGACATGGTTTAGCAAAGGGGAATGATTTAGCAGGTTTAGCAAAAAAAATCATAGATTCGAGCCACATTTGGTTATCTTGATGCTATCAAAACCATACATGCTACTGATCCGGCACTCCCTACTCTTTCTTAGACCTGACAACCTTCAACTTCTTTGCCTTTCCCTTCTCCATGAAGGTTACTGGAGATAGTGCTTCACATGCAACAGGCTCTATGGAGCCTTCAAATTTCAGCAACCTTTTCGGCTGAAAAGGATATAGAAGCATGTCAACAATTATTTTAAAGAAAGATAACAACCAGGAAAACATAATTGGAGGACTTATACCTCCTTGTCATAGGGCTAGGTGTTTGCACAGGAGTGATAGCTCTAGTTGGTGTAGATGGATTTTGCTGCAGCAACCTCCTTGACATACTAAATGGAGAGAAAAAGTCAAATCCAGTAAGAAGTAATACAATATGGCAAAATTTTGGAAGTTGCATTTGTACCTTCTTGTCATAGGGCTTGGTGTAGAAACAGAAGTGATAGTTCTTGGGGGTGTAGCACTGTAAATTGTTTAGATATGCATGTTAGTGGTCTGCTATGTAAGACATGTTTCAAGTTTGAGTTGAAAGCTTACAATGGTTCATCAAGTGATGGTTGTTCCTGTATTGGATTAGTAGCACTACTAGATGGCACTACTGTGACATTTTTCTTGGTTCTCTTTCTTTTTGGCTTTGGAGGGGCAGGTGGTGGTGCATCAGATTCATAAACATATTCATTGCATGTTTTTTCCATGTGGCCAAGCTGCCTGCACCTTTTGCATCTTGTGGATCTCTTTCCAGTGCCACCTTCTGCAACTGATTTGTACCTTCTCTCCCTTGGTCTACCGGCTGCCCTTTTCAGAATTGGAGGCCACAATTTGAATCCAGGGTCCATCTTAGGCTATTGTTTCCTATCTGTCATTGGCTTCACAGACTTTTCATAGGCTTTTCTTAAACTTTGCCACAGAATAGTACTCATGAACATAGTCTTCTATATTATAACCTCGAAATGAGGTGATAATACAGAGGGCGTGTGTACATGGTAGACCAGTAACTTGCCAGCGCCTACATGTGCATGTCCTCTCTTTAAGATCAACAGTATGCCTCCAATGAACTAGATCCCTTGTAACACCTTCAACTTCACCTAAAATTTTAGTCTCAGTACCACCATCTTTGTGTGAATACCTCCACACATATTTGAGCCCCCTGCTTCTTGTATTGAGTTCCTTCATGACTTTAGGTAGGATCTTGCCTTCAAGCTTTCTTGCAATTTTTCTTCTCAAGAACATTTTGTACATTTCCATCTGTCTTATCCTATCCATAAGATCAACTACATGAAGGGATTTCTCATCTGTAACCCAGCTGTTGAATGTTTCAGCAATGTTATTTGTGACATAGTCACACTTGCTTGCTTCAGAGAACAAGTGTCATGTCCAAAGGTGCTTATGAGTATTATGTATCCACTTCATGGCTTCAGGACATGCTTCATACATTAGATTGTAGTGCTCTTCAAACTTGTGTCTTTCAAACCTGTGTCTTTGATAAGCTCTACATGCTGGCCACAAGTGCTTCTCAAAGACTTCACCCCGAAATCGCTTTTGGAAGTTTGCAACTAAGTGTCTCATGCACTCTCTATGCTCAACCCAATTTTTGAAGACTTTAGTAACAGCTGAATCAATTCCTTTGCCTGCGTCAGTTGATATCACTAGCCCTAGAGGTGATCCAATAGCTCGATAAAGTCTGCTAAAAAACCATTCCCAATCGCCAGTTGTCTCTGATCCAAACACACCATGACACACTGGAAACATCCAATTGTTCCCATCAATAGCAGTAGGATGCAAGTTGATCCTTCCATTTCCCAGTCAAATGAGTGGAGTCCACACCAAGAAAAGGCCTGCAGCCATTTAGAAATCCATCCACACAAGACTTCAATGCAACAAACATTCTAGTGAACCTCATCTTCTTCCCAACTTTCTCATATTCAATGTCTACCAAACTGCCAGGATTGGTCTTCCCCACCTCTGCCTTGAAACTGAAAATACACTTAAAACTATCATCCCACTTCCCTTTGAGTTGCTCCAAAGCCTTATTTCTTCCATCCCAAACTACCCAGTATGACAACTTCAGATGATACTGCTCCTCTAGCCTTTTCTTTAATTCTTTAGGCCCAATTTTATTGTCCTTTGCAAGCCAATCCAGAACCCGATCCTTGACCCACTTATTTGTTGCTATGCAGTTCTTCTCAACTTTTCCTGTGCTTTGACAAGTGTGTTCATAAGGCATCTTCTTTATCTGAAACAAGCAAGAATTAAATTCAATACAAACATACAGTAAAAATTTAGTATAAAAAATCTAGAAAAAGAACAAGTACCTCCCAAGTCCTTCCATCCTACAATTGTGAAGCATGTATACGCCACATGCACCGTTCAACTTTGCAATAGCCTCTATACCTTGTTGCCTTAGAATAGGGAGCTGCAATTTCATATTCACCTTTTATTGCATATTGCCTAATAGCTTTCTTGAAAGTATCACCATCCCCAAAAGTTACACCAACTTCTATTTTCGTATTCTCCAAGTCAGTTGCATGGATAATTGTCTTACAACCCCATGCATCCTCAACAACTAATTCATCCTCCAAACCAGCATAGTCTACATCACTATCTGGTTCAGGCTCTGATAAATCAGAAATTGGATCCTCATCATTCAGACCAACGTACTCTACGTCATCATCCACCCAAGCCACTTCAGTAATTTGCTGAATTGGTGGCTCTATAAGAGATGAGTCAGTTTCAAGTGAAGGTTGTGCAATAGTTTGGTTGGCTGGGGCATCAGTGCTTCCCTGTAAAACACAAGGCATGCTCTCCAGCCAGCCAATATCATGTATGTGATCCTCGTCGTCTTTTCTTATAACACGCACTTGCACGGAAAGCCTCCTTGTATCCCAATACATGTCAATTGCATGAAGCAATTTCTGGTCAGAATCAATCTCTCTATAGCTACGACTCATATTATCCCAATAGGTGACACGTAGTTTTGGTTTTGAGCCTAGCTTAATTTCTGTAGCAAATTCAAGAAGCAAATCATTCCAGTTTGTGCTATCCCTGTCTAAAATCTTTGGAATGTTACATGCCTTGCAATATTCGCAACCATCATCATCAGTTAATTGGACATAAGCGCCTACTCGAACAGCAAGCCTGTAGGACGAATTGGGATCCATCCTACATATACAGGGGCACAAAGATAAATGGGATGAACAAGGGTACGATTTACTTTGCAAAATCGAGACTACAGTTAGCCTAACCCTAGGGAAAAATCGCAAGAATCTTACCTGTCGGGAGCCCATGACAGATCGGCGTGGTTCTCTGGGAAAATGTCGTTGAAGAATCGTGGAGGAGGTTCCTCCATCTCCTGCCACGAGCGGGCGCCGCCGCCGTGACCGCCGCCCAGGAAGGAACAGGCCCGGCCTCAGGGCGCTGGCGAAGGGCGCGACCGTGCGCCTGGAGCAGGAAACGGCCGGACGGAGGGAGCAGGAGACGGCCGCACGGAGGGAGCAGGGCGGGGCAGCAGCAGGAGCGGCGTAGCGAGGAAGTCCCGATCCGTTTTGGTCATCCCGTTCGGCAGCAGGGAAACAAGAGAATAGGCAGGCGTACCTTTTTATTAAAAACGATTATAATAAGAAGTGTAGTGTTCGTGACCCAATTATCAAAGAGTTTTAGTGTATTTGGACAAAGACAAGTTTTTTTTATGCGGTGTAGCAAGTCTATCCTTTTTTTTTTTTAGTGTCCGGGACCTAATTTTGCCCCTGCCAAACGGCCCTAAGCCTATAACCCGCGCTGCCATTTCGGCTACCGTTTCTATCCCTCCACTCCCTCTTATCTGCTTCCGTCCTCCTCCCCTCCCTCCCCCACCTCCACCATGACCACAGCCGCTACGGCCACCGCCTCCACCTCCCTCCTCGCGCCGGCGGCCAGCAGAACGGCGCCGGCGGCCTCGCCCAACGCGCTGTTCTTCCCCTCCTCCGTGCCGTCGCTGCGCGCCTACCCGCGGCTCCTCCTCGCGTTCCGCTGCCCCGCCGCGGCCGCCCAGGGCGCCGTGCTCGAAGAAGAAGAGGCAGAGGCCGACCAGCGGGGCCAGTACGACGACGACGGGTACGAGGGCGGGCGCGGCTCCGCGTTCACGGCCCCCACGCGGCCGCGCACCGGCAAGGCCGCACTACCGCTCAAGCGCGACCGCGTATGCATGCATATCATCGAATACTCCCCCCCTTCCTTCGTATGTGGTTCCTGTTGCGTGCGTGATTGTTGTGTATGGCCGGTCGGTGACGCTGTGCTGGTTTTGAGGGTGTGCAGACGAGGTCGAAGAGGTTCCTCGAGATCCAGAAGCTGAGGGAGAGCAAGAAGGACTACGACGTGCCCACCGCCATCTCGCTGATGAAGCAGATGTCCAGCGCCAAGTTTGTCGAGTCGGCGGAGGCGCACTTCCGCATGAACCTCGACCCCAAGTACAATGACCAGCAGCTCCGGGCCACGGTATTGTTTCTTCTTCTTTTTCTGTCGTTCTGTTCGGGTTGCTTCTTGTGTCCTGTTGCGTTCGTTGATTTGTGTTGGTCGTGCGTGGTGAGCACAGGTGAATTTGCCCAAGGGAACAGGCCAGTCGGTGAAGATTGCGGTTCTCACACAAGGTGCGCGGTGATTGAAACACGACGCAAATGTTGTTGAGCGATAATTAGTACAAGCTGAATTCATGTCAATTGCAGTATATGATGCATGGGCTAATTGGATCACTGTGCTAGTGGGTCGTATGTGTGATTGTTCTGTTTGACACTATTGCCTCATGTGTGACTATGGGTTTAATCAGAAACATGCTTGTCTTTATTTTTATGCAATCTTTGTGTACTGATATAGCTATTTGATTACACCAATCCGTTAGTTCGTATTTTTCCTCTTAAAGTGTCATGTCTTCTTTCAGAGTTCAAATCTCATAATTCATAAGTATTGTGAGCAGTGCAACGTATTGGATCGGACAAGATTAGTTTGTCTTTGGTCACTTGGGCAGAAGAATAATACAATCAGTTTATTATGTTCATGATGTTTCTACTTCTTTGTTTTTCACAAGAAATCACTTGGGAGTTGGGATGGTGATATTTTTGTGCTGTCCACTTAGCAAACCCTTGTTGAATGACTGAAACTTGTCTTTCATATCCTTTGTGAAAGATAGTCATGCTTTTCTTGTCACGATCATAAAGATGGAGGCACCAGTAGTTGAAATAATCATGATCATTATGCATTAATAATTGTTTTCTGGCCTTACAGGTGAGAAGATAGATGAAGCTAGAGCTGCAGGAGCTGATATAGTAGGTGGAGAAGATTTGATTGAACAAATAAAAGGAGGATTTATGGAGTTTGACAAATTGATTGCATCACCTGATATGATGCCTAAGGTATGAGCTATTAACGGTTCAGCCTTCATTTCAGTTTACTATTGGAGACTGCCGCAAAGTTTGAAACGAAATATTTAGTTGTGCTTACTATAGGTCTTACGTGTCTTACCATGTAAACTGTTAAAAATGTTGTTTTCTATAGATAAAACAGATTGGCTATAACAATCTAATTTCGGAATACAGGAATACATGTGTGAGATGTTTCATTCTTTGATAGCTAATGCTAAACTAAATGTCCAAAATTCTGTATATATTTGTTGCATGCTTTGCCTCATTGAAACTTTCAACATGGGCTCCCATTTAAATGATTATCAGGCTGAGTTATTTCTGTTTACTTTTCAGGTTGCTGGCTTGGGTAAGATTCTAGGACCAAGAGGGCTGATGCCTAACCCCAAAGCTGGCACTGTTTCTCCAAACATTACTCAGGTATTGAGGAAGTCAATACAGATTTTGTTTGCCTCAGATTTTCCATCAATATTGCTTCTAAATCGTTTGTCTTCATTGCTTAGTCTGGGCACACTGACAAGATTTAAAACTTCATGCCATTATAGTATTTAGCTGACTTCTAGGATTCATGTATAAGTATCTTCCTACCTTCGTTAGTTGCATTTACTTTCCTGTACTTCCAATAATTCAAGACTCAGGCATGGTGTTTTTCTTGAACATATGCTTGTAATTTAATTGTGCCTAGCTAGAGTTCAGGAAGTTGAAATAGTTGGTTTTACTGATCGCCTAGGAGGAAACTAGATGAGACACATGTTGGAGAATATGGAGCGCTGTTGGTTTATGGCAGTACACCGGTGGTAATAATATTATGAAATCCTGATTCACCCTAGACAAGTAGACAGCAACATAAAGCATTGGCAATAATAACTAGCAAAAGTAGCGAGGCAGTTGATTGAGGGATATGACTTAAAATCTGGTCCAGTTTTCACGGTTCAGTTTATTTTATTTAGAAGCAAAGCTGAAAGTACCAAAGACTCAAAATGGAGTAAGGACTATGACATGTGTATTGTTATTCATTTGGAAAATGTGTTGAGTTTCATTTTTATACTGAGTGTATGGAGTGTTTCTGTATCCATCCTTGCCAAGAGTTTAAATGCTGTGTTAATGGAGGACACAGTACAAGACATTTGACCTTGATACAGATTATGGTTCTAAACTTCTGATGCATGCTCATACCCCTCCCTCTCCCTCTCCCTCTCTCTCCCAGATATAAAGTCATGCTGACTTGTGCGCCAATCATACGCGTTTTAGGTGTGACCATCATTGGCCTAATGTTATTGGTATTGGTATCTTAATAATAGATGTACCTTGGAAATGGCAGTTAAAGGTCCAGATGTCCTTTTGTTCATAAGTTAAGGGAGTATTAGTTCATATTTGAACGTATTTGAAAAATGGTTGTAAAATTGAATCAGTTCAACCCAATTGTAGTGATAATTGTCTTAGGACCAATGAAATAGATTGTGCTAATTGTGCGAATGGTTCCAGGCTATCGAAGAGTTCAAGAAAGGGAAGGTTGAATACAGAGTTGATAAATCAGGAATTGTTCATATTCCCTTTGGCAAGGTTGACTTTCCGGAGGAAGATCTCATTGCAAACTTCATGGCTGTTGTTGTAAGATCTATGTTCCTACAAAACATCTATCTCTGTTCATCATTTTACTGAGGATAGTGTTGATAAGCTTCTTGCTATCCATTCACAGCGCTCTGTTGAGAGGAACAAGCCATCTGGTGCTAAGGGGATATACTGGAAAACGGCGTACTTGTGCTCATCCATGGGACCTTCTATCAAGCTAAACATAAAAGAAATGCTTGACTATGGTTTGGACTCATCTGACTAGATGTGACCACAGGCACCAGTTAAGTCAGATTAACTATCTGCCCCTTGCGACAAATGAGCATTGACATGGTTGTGGGGAATGGCAAGGAGGTGCTTAGGTACAGTTTTTTCAGTTTTACGGGCACCCATCATCAGAGCAGCTAAAGTATGCCCAGATCGACAAGTGGTCTTGTTGGTCATGTATTTATGAGCAAATTATGCATGGTTTCATAGATGTCTGTCTCTGAGACGTTTGTTGTAATGTTTCATATTCTGTCAATAGTCATCCTTGAGCTTAAGCCAGCAATTTATTTTCACCTGTCATTAACGTAAGCACTTACCGTTCATGTTTGTGTTGGCGAGTCAGCCTGTATTTTCATCCGCTTACCCGTACAAGTCTTGAGTCACCATTGGTGTTCATTTCCTGCAGTAAATGAAAGCACTTATGAAACATTCGGTTCATACATGATGGTAAACTAAAAAAGATCATGCTAGCGGATGCATGATACAGGATTCACAAAGCGAAAAAATCACATGATAGCACGTATGCATGGACAGAAAGGAAGAAAGCCTTTTTACATTGATCACGTGATTATGAATATCTATACCTTTCAAGCATCCCAATTGCTGATCAAAGATTTGATTCACATTAAAGTGTATTTGGAAGTTGGAATCCAGCAGATGGTATTTGATTCTAAATGGCTCTTTTAGTTCAATCTCTCTCCAAAAGATCAAAACAAATTGTTTGCGACCAAAATTGGCAGTACCAATCTGAGAAAAAAAGGGTCATCTGGTTTTGAATATGACCTCCAATGATAGAATGGACTTTACGATTGTGCATCTCTCGTCGATCAAAATGCTTATGCGTCCAATTTAAAATTCAGATGACAGAATTATGGACTTTGGAAGAACCCATCCCAATAATATGGACATTGGAAGAACCTATCCCAAGAAACTAGAGTGATTTGATTTATGAAACTGGGTGACCTGGTTTTGACAGTTTAGATCAAGTTTGAGTTAGTTTAAATTATAAATCTTGATGCCTTTGGATTCTACCATGAGATAGACCTGCCATCTTGTAAAAATAAAGGGCCACAACTCATTGACTATCAACCAATAGATTCAAACACATTTATCTTTTACCATTTTACCTTTTATGCAATTTACCCTCTCATCTTTGCCTAATTTCTTCCAAGTTCCAACCTCATGTGTCGTTCTTCGCTCATCTCCATGGCATGAGAAGGCAAGTGCAACCCAACGTGTGTTTGCCTCCACGGGTCCGTCCCAGCGAGCGCTCATTGATTTCTCCTGGATCATCCAATTTTCTAAAACTATGTGGTCCAGTTTACATAGGCCATGTTCGGCTGCTCATATAAGCTATAAGCTGGCTTATCAGCCATGGTATAGTATTTTTCTCTCCCAACAAATCAGCCGTACAAATCAACACAAGTGGCTTGTCGGGCTGGTGCACCTCTGCGGGTTGCACATGATGATGTCATATGACGGTGCGTTTTAGTATCAACACTCCTTTTGCCAACTGCTAGAGACAAGCTGTTGGTCAATCGGTGTTGTTGCGAAGAGTTCGGTGTTAACTGTTAGGGACTCAATCTACACGTGACATATACTCCTAATCTATATATTTTGGTTGCAATGAATTCATATCTTGTGAGAAAAAAATTGCATCAACTAGAGATTATTTTAGGCTGTTGTTCTAGATATCCAAATTATGCATCCGAGAATCATATACAGCAGTCCATGTTAAATAGTACGCATCCCTCAAATTTTCACGATACTAGCTACATGGAACATGTGTCTATTATCTATCATGCATGAACATCCTATCAAATCTATATCTGCTCACTTGTGAGCTCAAGCTGGCTCGTTTAGTTCACGAGCCAAGCATAAATTACATGGAAAAGAAAATCTATGCATTTGTCTAAAGCTTAAGATACTAATTAATAATACAAAATTAGTCCATTCATAAGTCTTAAATCAAACAAATAAATTAATATGTGCTGACATATATACAAGTATAAAATTATATTATAGTACTACACCATACGTCCATGATCAAAACTCATACATAATGCATCCATTATCTGTTATTAATTATCCATTCATCCATTTAAAATAAAATGATAGTCATAGTAATCTCAAGTGTATAAGGTCTAGGTCCATTCATCAACTAGTTGTAAAGTACAAAACATCAAGTCATACAAAACTAATAGAAGTTTAAGGACAACAACTTTAACTCGTTAGGTTTGTGAACTGACTCGTTAACTGCACGAGCTAAAATACTGGCTCAACTCGTTAAAAAATATAAACGTGCCACTAGGGGGGCAGGAGCAACACGGGCAAACACTTCCTGATGATTTCAGCACAAACTGATGTTATGTGCACCAACCTCCAAGCAGCAGTTGAGGTTGTAATTCTAATTTTTGCTTTACCTTTTAAAACTTAAAATCAGGCTATTCGGCTGATGATTTCTACGGCTAATAAGCCAGCTGATATTATTTCGTTGCGAGAGAAAAACACTGTACTATGATAAGCGCCGATAAGTTCAAGCAATGATAAGTTCAAAGCGAACAGGACGTGCCTGCCCCTCACTTCACTGTGCTCCTCATCCTTTTGTCAGTGTAAATTACTGCACCTTTTGCAAGCTATTCTCACCAACTGCGAAACATTATGTAAGCTGATTTGGACATCCGACGAAGACGTGGAACGGTCGAAGGCTACGAAGCCAGCGTGACAGCGTGTAGCGTTGGGCGTCGCCTAACGAGTCGAGTTGACTCAAGCGACCTACCAACCCCTGGTGCTGGTGGACTCGCTGTAGGTGAAAAGGAAGGGGCCCACCGGTGGGTCGTTGGCTCCCTACTTCCCTGCTCCAGGGCACCGTGCTAAACTCTCGCGCGGTTCCCCCTCTTCCTCCCCGGTCGACGGCCCGCTCCTTCCCAAAAACCCACAGCCCGCTCCGGCGCTCCCTCCCAAAAACTCACCGCCCGCCGCTTTCACTCCATCCCACATCCACACCCCCGCGCCATGGCCTCTCCTCGCCCCACCTCCCTCTCCTCCCCCGCCGCCCTCATCCACCTCCGCCTCCAGCCCCTCCCCAGCATCCCGCCGCTCCACCCCACTACCCTCCCCTTCCTGCGCTCCCTCCCGCTCCACCTCCCCTCGCTCCGCCTCAACGGGCCCCACTTCCCTCCCCTCCCGCTCGCCTCTTCCGGCAGCGGAAGCGGCATCACCGGAACCGGCGGCGAGGCCGACCTTCCTCCCCTCCCGCTCGCCTCTTCCGGCAGCGGAAGCGGCATCACCGGAACCGGCGGCGAGGACGGCCTTCCTCCCTCGGGCGGGGGAGGTGGAGGGGGAGGAGGCGATGGCGAGGGCGAGGGCGACGGCAGCGACGACGCCTCGGTCAACAGGAGGGAGGCCCTGTTTGTTCTGGCGCAGCTCGGGCGGAAGCTCGAGAGCCTGCCGGCCGACCTCGCCGCGGCCGTGGAGGGCGGCCGCATCCCGGGCGAGATCGTGCGGCGGTTCGTGGACCTCGAGGCCTCGCCGGTGTTCAGGTGGCTTCTGCAGTTCGGTGGGTTCAAGGAGCGCCTCCTCGCCGACGACCTCTTCCTCACCAAGGTCGCCATAGAGTGCGGCGTTGGCATCTTCACCAAGGTACGCTGGAATTTCGTAATTCTTTTTTCCGGTATTATTTTATTTTCTCTAGTTTGTGATTCAGATCATCAGATGTGGTCTGGTTCGATGGGGTTTGACTGATTGTGGTGTCAAACCTTTTGTAATCCGGGCTCTCAGATGCCAGTCCGATTTCCTGGCTCAGATTTATTTTGGGACTCGGGGCTGGGATGTGATGGTTGATGCGTGTTGTCCCGATTCTGGCACTGCTCCGTCTCAGTCAAAATGATGCTTGCTTGGGCGTAACCGGCGTAATTACGTTTGTGTTGGAGTTTAGGCTTAGCTGAATGCCTTCTGTTCTCTCAATTAATCAGGAGTAACCTATTAAAAAAAAAAGAATAACCTACTTGGAATCTTGATATTTTTTTTTCTATAAATGCGAAAGCAAATGCTGATTCAGCAGACAAATAGGAATAAAGTAGCCTTTGTATACGCTAAAGTATAATATTTTGCTCCAAAATATAAGTGATTCTGTGAATGACAGTATAGCATCGTTCCCTCACTTTCGTTTTATGTGTACCACTTGCCATTGCCAATATGCAGTAGTGCCCACTGTTGGCTTTATATGTGGTCGTCCTATCAAATACAAACCTGTTGCTACTGGAAACCCTGGGGCACACAAATTTATGGTATATGCATGGTTGAAGAACATTACTGCAATGCAATGCTGGTTGGTCTAACAGCATTACTGTTGAAAAACATCATTATATTCCTATTTGATGCCCATATACTACATCTTTACAGGCCTTTTATTTATTTATTCATTTTCTGTTAGCAGTATGACTGAGCTTCGTTTGTGCCCACCACTTTTCTGGACCTGGTTTCAGTTAGATGATTCTGTGTTTTAGTTAGCAAGTTATGTATAATTTGTTGCAGCTAGTTTGACATAACTCCTTTAATTTGCTAGACTGCTGCAGAGTATGAGAAAAGGAGGGAGAACTTTGTCAAAGAGCTTGACTTTGTGATTGCAGATGTGGTATGCTTCTATAAGTCCCTTTTGCTTTTGTCATTGTGATCAACTTGGCATTTTCCTTTAATATATTAGGAACCATTTTTTTTTCTTCTGTTGTCTAGTCATCATTGTTCAGGCCAGATAATTTATCTTATTTTGAATGCCTACTCTGCTCAAGTTGGAGGCGCTTTCATGTCTTTTTTGGATAATACAGCAAGTCCAGCAAATCACACATTTCACGCTTTCCATCTCTACCCTCCGAGCAGGGGCTGAGGGTCATGGAGGCGAAACTGGGCCTCCGCCCCCCGCCCCTCTGACAGTAGTAGCTTTGGTAGTCTATAATCTTAGTTTTGGTAGCCTTTAATCCTCATGGGTGCTTTATAGGACTGCATCTGTAGTCATACCTGAGAAGCTTCAATAGCTAGTACAGCAGTAGTTTTTGCAATTAGCCCCTGCTTGCTTTTGGTTCACCCTTCGTCACTGCCTCTGAGGTCAATATAACATGCTAAAAGTGAGCGAAAATGACCACCCGTTATCTAATTCAAAAATTTGGGACATATGTAGTGTTTTTAACATGCCAGTCCCCTTAGAAAATTATAAAATCAATTTCCAAAATAAATAAAAGAAATGGTAGCCCTATAATATTTAATGTCAAAATACAATCTGTCCTATGGTAAAACATGAGAAAGGCTTCTAAGTGGATAGTGTTTTTCTCGTTTCGTTTTCTTACTATTACTATTTAGACAGCTTTGAGGACTTATCTGGACATATGTTTTGACAATTTTCATGCTGGCTTACTGCCTTAACTGATGTGGCTAGCTTGCTAGCCCAAGTTAACTGATACCTCTAGATATGTCCCTTTACAATGGTTTCTTTAATAACTTTGCTATCCAGTATTTGACTTTTGAAACCAACATGGTAAGGCCTTTCTGTATTTTCTGCACTCTACCTAGATACTACATAATCATGTTTTTTAAATAAAAACTTTGTACAAATAATCATCAATTTATCTCAAAAAAACAAGACCTACCTGCAAGGTTCCAAAAGGCGCTAGGCGCTAGGCAGGCGCCAAGCCACTGATTAGCGCCTAGGACGCTTAAGCGGAGATTAAACATGATTAAACGTTTGTGTTTTTTTTTTCTTTTTGTTGTTGGGATGTGCTTAAGTGCATCACTGCATCACAGATTCAGTCTAGCCTTGTTACAACAGGCCAAGCAAGCCAGCAGTAGTATTTCCCTTGGCCCAGAAGATATTAAGAGGCCCAGGCCTATTAAAAAAACCCTACAACCCAGCCTTATGCACTCCCATTCTATTCCCCTCCCGTTTCCCTCCCAGGAGCACAGCTAGCTGCACGCCCCCACACAGGTCTCCGCCTGCACAGCCGCAGGGTCTCTGCCCGCATAGCCACAAGCTCTAGGAGCACCAGGGAGGTGCGCGTGGGGTGGCAGGGCTGCGCTGCACCGGTGGCTACTTGAGGAGTTGGTGCTCGAGATTCTCCTTGCTGCTGGCACCAACGCAAGATGCAGAGTTGGCGGCTGCGGCCACGGCGCAAGAACATCGTGTTTCTTCGCGCGCTGCTGCCCACTGTGTTTGCGCATGCTCCTGCTGCTTGCCTCTGCATGTGCTAGCTTGCATTCCTCCTGATTTCCTCTGATTCCACACCACTTACCCGTTGGCTGGCGTTTAATTTGACCTATGGCCTAAGCGAGGTGCCAGGGCTCCGTTCAGCGTTGAAGCGCACCTAGGCGAGCGGTTAATTGCGTTTTTTTGAACGCTGCCTACCTGAAGCATCACCAGTTCACCACTAGTGGCATTGCAAAAGAATTTTTGCATGACATGGATAGTTCAAAACTTTTTATCGAGTTCTGTCTGCTACTTCACTGGCAGTGTGCCAAATGAACTGTATCATGCCACCAATTATAGCCTGGCAAGGGCTGCCAAACTGTGCTAGACTGGCAAGGGAATATTTTCACTTCATGTGGTTGGAACATAACACTGCAAATGTACATATTTCGCCCAGGTAGTAGGTCAGAAGATAACAAAGAATAACATAGTGATTGGAGCAATGGATGAGTGGATGACCCAAATTGAGAGTATTGTTGCTTCTGATGTCAAGCACGCTGAGTACCTAATGAACAGGAAAAAAATGAAAAAAAGGCTTTGGAGAATTTTTGCAAGATTTTCCAGTAAAATTCAGGCATAGAATAGGACTACCCGACAACAGCGATGATGTGCATCAGACTGTATGCGGGCTAATGCAGCTGCTAATTGGCAGGAGGAAGGCGGCAGCGAAGTGCTTGCTATCCTGTGGGGACTAGGATGGCCTATGTGCTGTGTCCATGTTCTCACTGGCAGGGAGCAAATAGTGGCAAAGGGTGCATTCTTGCCACGGTGAGCAGGGTGGCGGAGGACACACCTGCTCACAACAGGGAGAAACAATGGCAAACATGAGGTAGCCAGTGGGCATAGAGCGGCAGCAGATGCCTGATCACTGGAGCAATGTTTTCAAGTAGTCCGATTAATCGCGATTTACTCGTCCTAATCGGTCCCTGGTGTTCGATTAGGAGTTCCGACTCGATTAGCTCGACCAGAAAGCTCGATTAGCTGGTCGTCTGATTAGTCGACGACTAATCACGAATAGTCGACGACTAATCACGATTAGTCGTCCAACTAGGCCATGGACGACCAGTGTGGTTGCTCTGTTTTTTTGGGCCTGTTCAACCGGGCCTATATGTGGCCTATTGGGCTTCCAATTTGGCCTATTAGGGTTAGAATAGGCACCCCAAAACACCGGAGGCACGCAGGCACGGTGGCAAACGCAGGGCGGCCGCAATTTTTCCCTGCGCGCCTCCACTCTCCCACGCGCGCGTTTCCTGCCTCCCGCGTGCGATTCCTCCCCTTCCCGCGCGCGATTCCCTCTCTCTCTCGTGAGCTATTCCCCTTCCTCGCACGCTATTCTCCTCTCTGGTGAGCTGTGAAGCCAACGGCGCCCTCTGCCAGGTCAAGTGGCCGTGGTCTTCGTGGTGAGCTGCTCCGACGACGGTATGTGCCTTTCCCTTCTCCATCTTCTTCCCTCCTCCCCCATCCCTCACTCTGCAGCCTCTCTGGCTCTCTGCTAGACTGTGTCCCTCTGCTATTCTCTGGTTCCAAAGGAAAGAGAAGCAATCCACTATGCTAGACTAATCGGCCTGGTCGACGAGTAATCACGATTAGTCGCCTGGTCGGTCCCATGGCGACTAGGTTCAACTAGACGACTTGAAAACATTGCACTGGAGTAGGATGACTGCGAATGCATGAGCTTACTGGTCACAGGAGAGTGGCTTCTCGTGGCCAGACGCAGCATCTTGCTGAAAGGGAGGTGGCACTGGCAGCGGCCATTGGATTTGGATCTGCTTACTGTCAAGTAGGAGATGATGGTAAGCATGTGCTTGCTGGATGGGAGGAAGATGGTGGCCAGCATGGGAAGGGGTGGCGGAGTATGTGGCCTCGCACGGTGGGTGCCTCCAAAAAGGGCAGACCCAGTGCCGAAGGCTCCCACATGAGTGGGGTCTGGGGAAGGGAAAAACCGAGGCAAGCCTTCCCCCCGCAAAATCTGCGGAGAGGCTGCTTCAAACCCGCGACCTGGTGACTCAGTGAGACAGCTCTCACCACTGCACCAGGCCTGCCCTTCGGTGGGTGCCTCCGTGATGCTTTAATAATCTATCTCTGTTGCAATCTGTAGCGGGGGCACTTTAGGTGAGGTGGCTAGGTTCTTGCTTAGGTCTGCATGGATTCTATTCCAAGAGCTGGTTGGATTCCTGATGAATTGTTTTACCCAGCTGAGCTGATAGCCTTAGCCTCACATTTCAGGTGAGCTGGTGACAGAAACACCATCAGTCTGCCACCTATTTGAACATGATTAAATATAAAGACTACTGCAATAGGTACTATTTCTATTAAATATAAAGACTTTAACACGATTAAAATATAAGAAGTTCTATAATTCATTTGGTACTAAATAAATAACCAGAAGATGTTCACACCTAAGTGTTTGATTTCCTTGATGCATTCACCGTATGTGCGCTACAAGAATTATGCCAGAAAAGAGTATCACATGGAAATTCTGAAATTGCATTAATAAATGGTAATCGTTTGCCTTAGCCTTTCATACTTGCAGCGAAAAAACACTACCACTAATTGTTTTGCTACTTCAACTGTAAATGGATTATCAAATTACGACATTTTTTCTGACTAGTTTACTTTTGTCTACCCCTTTCCCAAACAGTATTTCAACTGCAAGATCTTCCCAACTCAGCCTTCACAGTTGAATGTTAATCAGTGTTGACAGTTATAGTTAATGGCAATGCAGGAAATGGTTCAACCTTTCATCTGTGCTAATTAAGAAAATAATTAAATCTCTGTTGTTAACTATATTTATTTATTCACTGGTTTTCCTTTGCAAAACTTTTAATCTCTATTAGTTCTTAATACTTTCCAGGTCATGGCAATAGTTGCAGATTTTATGCTTGTATGGCTTCCTGCTCCAACCGTGTCTTTACAGCCACCACTAGCGGTGAATTCTGGAGGCATTGCTAAGTTCTTCTACAACTGCCCAGATAATGCCTTCCAGGTACCATGATCTTGACTATTCATTGGATTGGATCGTCCCTTTATCCCCTCCCCCCCCACACACACACACACACACACACACACACTTTTTGTACCGATATATTTGTATAGATTGAAGTTTTTCTTTTATTCTGAAAGGAAAGTTATAAATTTTTTTTGGGACTTGTGAACTTATATGGAAATTCTGCTGCAGGTTGCTTTGTCTGGGACATCATACTCACTTTTGCAGAGAGTAGGAGCTATTTTGGTAAAGTTGAATTTCTGTGCTCTGCTGTGTTGTTCACAATCAACAATTGACATTGAGTAGCTTTATGGCCTTTTGTTATGAAATCACAATTTGTCTTCTTGCAGAGGAATGGCGCAAAGCTTTTTGCTGTTGGAACTAGTGCCTCTCTGGTAAGTTTGTCATGATGCAATTGTAATGTCTTTGGAAAACACTCGGTCTGTTTCGACTTACTGTTAAAGTGCAACACTAGAGCCATAGCCATAGTTTCTTTTCTAAACTTCTCCGTGCTAAGCAGGAAGTAAAACAAAAAAAATGTCATATATATTTGGGAAATGCTTGAATCATTTTTGTCTTTTTATATGCTATATTGCTATGGATGGCCATTGTTATTGGAAAACCGTGAGCCCTGGAGCGTGCAAACCTATTATGTATTGATTTTTTTGTATAGGTGGTGTAAATGTTAGATATATTGATGAATACTTGTAAAAGAGATTACCAACCTTCCAGAGTGTCTTTGTTCTTGTATATGTAATCAGGTCAAGGCGGTAAATTGATGATACTGTTTAGTTTTGGTGTCTAACAATCAGTTGTCTAGTCAATGGCTCAATACCATCTTTGCTATTGAAGCCAAGTTTTCAAGAACATGTAAGAGGTTACAATGCGTGGTCATTTTTTTCCAGGTCGGCACTGGTGTGACCAATGCACTGATAAAAGCAAGGCAGGCTGCCAGCAAGGATTTTGACGGTGAAGTTGAGAATCTTCCAATTTTATCAACTAGTGTTGCATATGGTGTGTACATGGCAGTTTCCAGTAACCTCAGGTAACAATCATCTTCTCAAACAATTTCCCTGATATTCTAATTTATCAATTAATTAATTATTTCCTTTGAATTCCTCTAATTTAGAGTGACTGCACGATAGGAGGCTATATGGATATATGATGCATTAGGAGTCTAGGACATGCACACTTGTATAGTTGTGGGGATGGAAATGGTAGCATGTGGGACATACATAAAGAGTGAAACTCACCAGCACTCCTTAAGCTCAGCCCACATTCCCATCTAGGTCCTTGCTCTCAAAATGCAAATATATGGCCCTGTTTTGCAGGGATTCAGTTTCTCGAAGAAACTTCTCTGGAGAGAAACCGATTTTGATTCTCCTGTGAAACAGGTTTTTGTGGTTTCTAGGAGAATTCAAGAAATGTTTCTGGTTCTGGCTCTGAATATCAGACATGTTTTAGGAATCCTATCGTTTCTCTCTAGAAACAGTTTCCATTCGTCTGTTTGTGGAGAGAAACCATTTGGAGAATCCCTACTATGTGCACCGTTACTAAAATTTACTAATTCCACTACTCAAGGTCAGATAATCATATAGATAGTGCTGACTCACATACATGGCATTTTTTAGAACACACATCCAAGGGTTGTTTCTTGGAAGCAGGACTTCATAGATGAAGCAACACTTCAATCTCATAGACTAATGATGAAAATAGGTTTATCTTCCCAAACTGGATTGACTTTCTTTCCTAATTCCTGTCTTCTCTCTGCCCCCCACTGTGGAGAGCTTGCTTAGTTTCCTTTGCTGTTTTTCTCTCTCTGTAGGCTTTGATCTCTTGTTCAATTTCTTTGTTTTCGTATTTTAATAAAACTGGAAGTGGGAGCCTCCCCTGGTGTTTTTCCTTAAAAAAAACACATACGTGGCATGCAGACTATGCGATAACGTGGAACCTAATAATACACGGGGTCAAAATTTAGGTCATTAGGTTGATTTGGACCATGAGTGGCACAATTAGCAAGTATAGGGACATAGATATGCATTTTGAGAGTTTGTATCCTAGATGAGAATGTGGAAAAATTTAAAGTACCACTGGTTACATAAATGACAAGGGGACCAAAGTACAAAAAGGAGTGTGTTTCTCTTTTTTGCTTGTCCCAATTCCCAAAGACGATCCTGTATGAGTTATGGAATGTATGGCAGGAATAATATATCTCATTGTAATATCTTGGTTTGAAGGGCGGGCCTGGTGCAAGCGGTAGAGTCTTACCGCCTGTGACCGGAAGGTCCTGGGTTCGAGTCGCGGTCTCCTCGCATTGCACAGGCGAGGGTAAGGCTTGCCACTAACACCCTTCCCCAGACCCCGCACAGAGCGGGAGCTCTCTGTGCTGGGTACGCCTTTATTGTAATATCTTGATTTATTGAAACTTTTGTTATGCCCCAACCGATATCGTGGGAGCAGTTTCTTCAAAGGCAGAAAATCCATTTCAGGATATCATCTGAGATATATTTTTTACTACTTTTGATGGAAAGGGCTAATGCAAATGTATCACTGCTCTTTATTCTTTGTTAAATATTTTGTTCATCCCTTATTTTCTATACTATATCAATGAAACCTACTGTGCAGTTCATAATATGATCTATGATTTTTGAACTTTAGTATAACTACAATTCTTGTACATTTCTGATTGTATGTCTACAAGCCCTTGTCGTTGCTTTGTTGTTATTGTGAAGTACCAAATGCTAATGGCATATTATCCATTGCAAAAGAAGAAAATATTGCTGTTCAACTCCTTACCGTAGATGCCATAACAATCTTTCATTAACTTATTGCTTGTCTGTTTGGTGCTTGGATACAAAGTGTTTTCAGAGTATTGGAGAGATACTATGGTTTTTTAGAATACTTTGGTTTTGAAAAAAACAAGGTTTTTATTTGTAACAAACCTTTTGGTTTTGAGAACCATGGTACTGCTAAGGTCTTGTTTGGGTGCAAAGTATTTTCGTTGTTTTAGTAAAATACTATAGTTTTGTGAAATACTTTGGTTTTGAAGGGCCCTGTTTGGATACAAAGTATTTTTGGAGTTTTAGAAAAATTCCATGGTTTTGTGAAATACTTTGGTTTTTAGAGTGCCATGAAGTGTTTGTATGCAACAAACTTTATAGTTTTGAATACCATGGTATTGCTAAAACTGTAGTCCTTTTAGAGTTCTAAAACTGCAGTTTTTTGATACTATGATTTCTTAATACTACAACATCCAAACAAGGTGTTTGGATGTAAACGATCTTTGTAGTTTTGAAAACCATGGTATTGCTAAAACTATACTGTAAAGTTTTAGAAACTCCACCCTAAGATCTCCTTTTTTTCTAAACCATGGTCTTGCACATCTCTTCTAAAAGTAAAGTTTCTTGATACTGCACTTTATCAAAACTACATCCAAATAGATGCAAAGTATTTTTTTGAAGTATTTGATAAATACTACAGTTATGCAAAATAATTTGGTTTCAAAACCTCCTGGGTGTTTGGATACAACAAACCTTGCAGTTTTTGAAATCATGATTTTGTCAAAACCATCTTTTTGTATGTAGTTTTAGAAACTAAACTCATGACCTCTTTTTTCTAGAGCACAGTTTTGTATGTCTTTAGCTTATAAAACTAGAGTTTCTTGATACCACGGTTTCGCACGTCATCCAAACAGGCCGATGTTTTTACAGTTTTAGAAACTCCATGCGATCATGCAACACCTGTTTTTTCCCCCTTCTAAAACATGGTTTTGCATGTCTTGTGTTTCCAAAACAACAGTTTCTTGATACAATGGTTTTCTAAAACAATGGCATCCACACGGTTTACGATTGTTTTGTTCTTGAACTTTGAACAGATACCAGGTTTTGGCTGGAGTGATTGAACAACGGATGCTCGAGCCACTACTGCACCAACGCAAACTAATATTGAGTGCAGCAAGTTTTGCAGTTCGAACAGGGAATACATTTTTGGGTTCTCTGCTGTGAGTATTTTGTATGCTCAGGGGATTAACACCGCTGTCTGTGCTTATTAGTTCACCTACTGACTATGCTTCTCTGCAGGTGGATCGACTATGCCAGGTGGGTAGGCGTACAATAGGCTCAAGCATACAGGCACAAATACAATTTCTCAGAGCTTCAGCATTATGGGTTCTTCATGATTTGCTATTAAAATGCTTCCTCCAACTGGCAACTACTCGTTTGCTTCATGGGAGACTCTTAGGACAGATTTTGATATCATTCTTTAAACAATGCATTGAGGAAAGCGTAATTTGTCGAATTGTTTCCACAAGCAAGAGATCAAATTTGTTTGGACGGCTTAAGGTTGTGTTGTGTGTGTTGGACTGGATTGATTAAAATTCGTACAGTTTGGTCATTGTTTGTGCAAGTTCCCGTGATTTGGTTATCGTGGTCGAGCACCAATTTTTGCTGGCCATGTATTCACCAAAGTTTGGCTTACTAAATTTCTGCCAGCAATTTATCCATATACAAGACTGGCAAATATACCCGGGCGTTGTCACGAGAGGAAAACCATTCTAATTCTTTTTATAACAGTAAAGTAGGGAGCAAATATGTCCCTGTGTTACAAGGAGAGAAAAAACATTGTAATTTTTTTGATAGCAGTAGATATATTTAGGAAGAATCACTAAAATGAGTTTTGGTGGACTACATCAATTTCATTATGTTATATATGGGTTTATCTTGAAAAGTAAAACAAAAAAAGGAGAGAAATTAGATTGGTCTTTTACTTTTCTTATATAACAAGTAGAGATCAAATGTGTCCGTGTAATAGTGTTGTTACGAGAGAGAAAAATCTATTTTTTTTATCAACTACTCTATCAATTTCAAATTATAAGATATTTTGGTTTTCTAGAATATATAATTTTTGTTATGCACTTAGATATACATTATGTCCATATAAGCAATAAAAATAAATATGTAGAAAAACCAAAATGCTTTATAATTTGGAATGAAGAGAATAGATATTTTGGAAGAAGAATCACTAAAATAAGAGTTTGGTGGGTGACATCAATTTTATAGGATGTTATATGTTGGTTTATTTTGAAAAATAAAATAAAAATAAATAATTTTAGATTGGGCTTTTGACTTATTGATTTGGAGGGGTTCTATTGGGCTATTAGAGAGAAATTGGACTCACATGACACACTGGGATTTGCAATCTTGTTGGTGCATGCGGGCTGGCCCAAGAGGTTAGAGGTGGACATGCTCGAGCTCGAGTGCGTGAGATGTATTGTGTGATTACGTGGAAAGGTGTAGTGTAGTGGGATGGAAGACTATTAATTCAGACGTCGATCTTCTAAAACCAAATTTGTGACAGTGACTTTTTGATAGAGACGGTTGATCTGCTTAAGCTATTTACATAGGTAGTTGACGATCGAAAATGTCCACCTTTAATTTGTATAAATAGCCTATTAAATAGCCTTTAATTTACGTAGGCATCTCTTCATCTACTATCTACTATTTACTATATCTAAATAGAAGAACCCCATTAGCAGATTTCTCTGTAATATTGTGAAGCCACGTCACCACATTTTGATGCAGCTAAGGCCACATTTCGTCTCTTCCCCTTCGTGCTATACCCGCCGGCGCCTAGTTTCCTTCTAGCATGTGAACAGACTAAGAACTGATCCAAACGGTGCCACTCACGAGCTCCTCCATTAGTGTGAGTGATTGCATCACGAAACGGTCTAGGACCCGAACAGTCATTGGTCAGATTTATAAGTTAGTGACCGTCAGTGCTAGCTTCGGCGAGTATCCAGAGACACGATTGGCTTGGCAGAGGGGCTGGGTCGCGGGGATAACCAGCAGGGCGTGGCACCACCAGGAAGCTGGGAAGAGGAGGGCAAGGAGAAGCAATGCTCGCGCGTGCTTTTTTTTTATAAGTGCTCGCGCCGTGCTCAAGAGACGGCAGCGGCAGGCGGCAGCAGCTGAGGGCAGGCAATGGGAGGAGGAGCCGCGATGGCCTTCGTCCTGCGGTTGGCGGCACCAAATTATGACCGAGGCGGAGAGGAGGCAGCCGATGTGGAACTACTGCGGCCCAACAGATCCCGACCGCGCGTCGTCGAATGAGCTGACGAAGGACGAGGTCTGGAGCCGACTCGACCGGGTGCTACAACCGAGGGACAAGGAATCCCTCGAAGGAAAGCCCGGACCTCTTCACGTCGCGAAGCTGTCCAATCTGGTACGCTCCCCTCCTCTTATTCCGTGACCTTTTTTTTCTCTTGCTCTCCTGTATTTTTACTTCGAGTCGTCCGTTTCGTAGGAACTCGCGGGTTACAAGTCCCGGCCGCATCTTCCGAGGGGGCCGGAGGACGCAGCTCGGCAAGCCGCTCCGAAAGAGGCAGCGGTTGCCAAAAAGAAGAAGAAAGCTGAGAAGGCCCGGAGGAGGCACGAGAAGGAGAAGAAGATTGCCCAGCGGGTGCGGGTCGGTGAAAATCGGAGCGACGTAAAGGCGGAGCTCGAGTCGGAGGAGCCCACGGAGATGGGTGGCGACGCGAGCACCTCCGAGGATGAAGGAGACCCGCTACCTCGGTGGAGCATCGCGAGCCTGCGGCCGCGTCCGTTAGCGGTGGGCGGGATGCGGAGAGGCGCGGCGATGTTCCCACGTCAAGGAAGCGCGCTGCGAGCTCGGACACCGCCGTCGAGCGAGAGGCGAAGCGGGCGCGGTCGCCGCGCCCTTCAGAGGCATCGTTGGCCCCGCACCCTCCTGCTGCGAGTGTGGCGGGGCGCGCCAGTCGGTCGGAGGAGCGTGCCCGTATCCCCGTATATTTGGGGTCGGCGCGTGCGCGCGAGCCACGACGGGGAGATGCCCCGTCAGTTGCTCCGGCGGGTGCGCCGCGAGCCGGCGGTCGCGGCCATTCGCGGGCCGATCGGGAACCGGCCGGGTCGACTCCTCCCTCGGTCGATACGAGGGGGCGCAGGTCGCGACCCGTGAGTGGTCCTCGTCCATCGGGCTCGTTGCCAGCGGGTCGGGGCTTCAGGGCCCTGCCCCTTTCGTCTAGGTATGTACCTATGTTACTTTTGATCTCACAATTGAGTTTTTTGAGCGTGACTGACCTGTACTTATTTGACAGCGGTCAGGGACTGACGGGACTAGGCATCGCCCCGCCTCCCGTGCGGGAGGAGTGGAGGCCCAGCCTGCAGCGATTCACGACGAGCGACGGGGAAAGCAGACTGGCGGCGGTGCGACCTTCCCTTCTAGGGGCTGCGCCCTCCTGGCTGGTCGCAAGTACGGCATCGACGGCGGCGACGGTGATGGCGGCAATCCCCGTGGCGACGATGGAGGTTGGGTCGGAGGTGACCCTTGCGATCCCTCCCCCAACAGCCATGGCGGAAGAGAGGAGGGAGACCGGGATCCCTGCCTCGCCCGACGGAGGAACACACGGCTTGCCCTCCTGGTCGGAGCTGGACGGGTCAGGAGGGGACGCGGCCAGGTCGGAGGCAGAACATCCGCCGGCGGGCCGCGGAGTCGAGATAGTGGAGATCCCCTGCTCTGGCAAGGCAGGTGTCAGGGTGGAGCCACCGGCCATCCCGTCGTCGCAGGAGCTAGTGGTGGTCCGGTCGTCGCACGATGTTGCGGCGGCTGGATCTTCCAGCGGGTTGGGGGTGACCCGCGAGCTGGTGTGGCCCTACCCTGGTGACCTGAGGAAGGCTCGGTTCGTCCTTCGCGACGAGGAGGAGGTGGTGCTCTGGGACTTCCTGGAGGAGAGAGGACTGTCGATGGAGTCCGATCTCACCCAAACCAAGACGAAGCTCAAGGAGGCCTTGGAGCGGGTTGAGCTCGTCCATCAGGCAGTCTCAGTAGACCTACCGCGCATCGCCGAGGTAAGCCTTCTGTGTTTTTAGTGTTTGTCCTCAACTCCTTGGTCTTCCACTGGTTGTCTCAGCGTGCTTGCTTCTCGCTTTACAGGAGTTAGAGACGACGTCGATCCGCAAGTCCCGTTTCCTTCTGCAGGAACACGATCGGATGGAGCGGTAGGCCGCGATGTCATGGTGGGTCGACGAGCTTAAGCGCCAGCTAGAATCTGCCCGCCACGAGTCCCAAGACCAGGCGGCCGAGGCGACGGGAGCGCGGGCGGCGGAACTACTCACGGCAGAACGGGCGACTGCTGCCGAGTGGGGACTCGACGCAGCAAAGGTCCACCTAGCGGAGACCGAGGCGGCGCTCTAGAAGTCCTTGGAGACTCTGGAGATGGAGCGGAAGGCCTGGTCGGAGGCTGATCGAGAAGTGCTTGCGCTCCCAGGGCAGGTGCTTGGGGTGGCGGAGTCGAATGCCCGACTGCTCGAGAAGGTCACCCAGCAAGAGGAAGGGCTCTCCATCCTCGAAGGCACCCGCCTCGGTATGTATCTGTTCCACCTTTGGTTGATGTCTTGGTTTTTCCTTTTCCTTCCTTCTGAGCTTGTCGTCCTTTTTTCAGAACTGGGCAGAAAAATCAGTTCTCTGGAGCGGGAGCTAGAGATAGCCAAGGCGGCGATCGGTTGGAGCGCGGAGGCGCTAGCTAAGTCCCTCGAAGAGCGACGTGCTCTCGAGGGCAATCTTGACTAGATCCGCAACGTCGCCCAGGTGGTCATTTTCGACGTGTTCGGGTCGGCGCCGAGCACCAGCACACCCGTCGTCCAGCTAGCGGAGGTCCCGAACAAGGTTCGGGCGCTCATCTCCGACGGGATGTTTTATGGGACGTCGGGGGTGCTAACCTCAGTGGTGACGCACCACCTAGACCTGGACTTCGCCGCCATCTGCAGAGGGTACGCCAACGGCTGGAGCGTGGATGTCATCCACGCGCTCGGGGAGAGCTTGGTGCCATACGCACAGATGGTTGCCGAGCAAGTCTCCGTGCAGTGGGTGATGGAGGCTCGCCGTTCGAGCATCGCTGATGGCGTGCGCCAATAAGACTTCATCTAGCCTGCCGATGGAGTGGAGACCGGGTTGGAAACGAGCATCGTCCCGCCTCCGACCGAGCCGAACGTCGTCCTATCGGCAAGCGAGCAGCCCTTATCCTTGTCGACCGCGCTGTCAACCGATGCCGCCAGGCGACCATAATAGAATTTAGAGTAGAAACAGTCAGTAAATGTAAAGGA